ACTCTGTCCTGGGTTTTCTTTTCTAGTTCCATCCAACTTTTGTTCATTCTTGTCATGTCTGTCTCCACTTATCGGCGTAATGTGTTGTTTGGTCCTCCTTTTCTCTTTTAATCTTCAGGATTCCATGTGAGGACTTGTCTGGTGATGCAGTTCGGTGATTTACTCAATGTGTGTCCTATTCACTCCTAGCACTTCTTCTTGATTCCTTCCTCCAATGGATGGAATCTGGTTTGTTCTCTCCCACAGTAGGTTGTTGCTGATAGTGTGTAGTCAACGGATCCGAAGCATCTTGTGTACACAACTGGTAATAAACACCTGTATCGTCTAGATGATGGTCTCATATACTTACGTTTCTTGATAGCTAGCACTTGTCAAAAAAATAAATGTATGTCTACAATCTTTGAACAAAAGAAACTAACTAGCTGTGTGATTCGAACCAATATCACTAAATAGATAGTATGTGTTGACTATCCAGAATTTAAGGTACGTAGATTTCTAACTTTTGTCTCGTATCATTGATCAAAGCATCATTCAAAAGTTAGTTATTCATCTAACCTAGTGAACGTATTGTAATTTAATCAATAAACTTGAATTCGTATTAAACATTTAAAGGAATATGTGTTATATCTTGAACTTAGATTCTTAGTATGTGGTATAATACTTGAGCACTAGAACGCTACAACCCTCTTAAGTCGCAAAATCAGAAGACAGAAAACAAGTAGAAGGAATGTTATTTCAAACAGTGTCGATTATTGTACAAAATTGTCAGGTATTTATAGTTTTTAGTAGAAACGAAATCATCATTATAATTATCCAATCCACACACAGAGAGTTATCAGCATTGTCTAATAGGGAAGCTACACGTAGTGATTCTAGAATATTCTTCCAAAAGCTGATTCGATGGAATATGTCCTGCTCCTTTTGTGTTTCTTAAAGCTTTCTTCAACTTCACCATTGGACCATACTCACAATGTGATGTTGATTACTTAATGTCAACATAATTTACGTTTAAAATGAAGTAATCATTACACTTTACAAAAATATATCTAAACATTTATATGTTACACGTTAACAAAAATCGACTGACCATTTAATTATTCTTTAAATCTATACAGAATTGTATATGATCCCCTATTTTGCTTAAGATGAATACATGCCAATAGATAATTTTCTTCTTGGTCAGGCACTATCAACAACATTCTATTGTGGGAGACAACAAACCAGATTCCATTCAGTGGAGGAAGAAATCAGGAAGAAGCTATGGAAGTGGATAGGATACACATTGAGGAAATCACCCAATTGCGTCACAAGACAAGTTTATTTTTGTGTGACTTTAAATATTGATTAACGTTTAATTGAATGGAATTGGCTTATCCGCCATCTCCACCGCACATCGTTTCGGTTTGCTCTCTCCTATTCGCATCCTCACTCTTATTTCCTGTCCAGATCAATAAGCCTACAAAATATATGTAGACAGACATGAGAAGAATGAACAACAATTGGATAAAACTAGAGAGTAAAGCCCAGGACAGAGTAGGTTGGAGAATGCTGGTCAGTGGCCTATGCTCCATTGGGGTTAATAGACATAAGTAAGTAAGTAAGTAATAGTTTTCTTCTTAATCTACTTAAACAAAATAATAACTAAATAGTAGTAGACCACTTTTCTGATTTGCCAATTTGCTTCTTTATTATTACCATTTTTGTTATATAATACTTCCTTCTTAATATTTTCTTAAGTGGATACTTCATCAGTTGTTTAAGTTATAACAATTGACCTGTCTTGATAAATGTAGAACCTATTTATCTTCATTTATTATTAAGCTATGAAATGAAATTTAGGCTTTAACTATTTATAGCCTATAGAACTATTTTATTGAAATTAAAATGAATCATCAATATATAAAGTAAAGAGCTTATTCTGTATGAGAGGAAGGTTGTTTGCTTCTTGCTTTTTTGATGAGATTATAGATTATAGAGTTTGTTTGTTGGGAGACAACAAACCAGATACCAGTGGGGGAAGAAATCAGGAAATAGTGTTGGAAGTGGATAAGGTATACTTTGGGGAAATCACCCAATTGCGTCATATGGTAAGCACTCACATGGAATTCTGAAGGTCGAAGGAGAAGAGGAAGACCAAAGAACATATTCCGCAAGAAATGGAGACAGACATGAGAAGAATGAACAAAAAATGGATATAACTAGAAAGGAAGGCTCAGGACAGTGTGGGTTGGAGAATGCTGGTCGGATGCTTATGCTCCACTGGGAGTAACAGGCGTAAGATATAACAAGAGTTTTGAATGATGCTAAAGTGGCTTTTGAGAAGGTCCACTTAGTGACTTGGTCTAAATGATGATTTTAAACGTATTTGATGGATGAGGAATATGATTTACAATTGATAGTTTAGGATATGAATTGGATTTAGAGTTTTCATCATGAATTGATATCGGTCGAAATGCCAAGATTCTATTTAGCCGAATGGATAAAGAATTTACCGCCGAAATCCAAGACCTGTTGGTATAAATCCGATTGGTTCGTTCATAAAGTATGTTTTAAACATAATTTAACAAATAAACAAGTTTCATAATTTAAAGTTCCTCAACAGAAGCCATTTAATCATTTGATTATATTAAAGCTTAAAAGAATACCAACTGGTTATTAATTCCTTAGATAACTTGAAAATGTTAAGCTGTGTTTCTACTGATAAGAGAAAAATATAATGAAACGTTGACTAGATTTCATTAATTTTTGGGGGTGTTCACCAAGATAAGATTTCAGGTGAAAGTATTTATAAACAATTGTCTACGTATGATATTCAACATCCATTGGCCGGATACCATCACCAATAACCTACTGTGGGAGAGAATAAACCAGCTTCCGGTTGAAGAGGAAATTAGAGAGAGACGTTAGAGAAAGATAGGACATGCATAAAAGAAAGTACCAAAGTGCATCACGAAGCAAGCGCTAAATTGGAATCCTGAATGGAAACGGAAAATAGGAAGGCCAAAGAACACATAACGTCAGGAAATAGAAGCTGATCTGAAAAGGATGAATAACAACTTGAAACAACTCTAAAGGATTGTCCAGGATAGGGTTGGATAGAGAAAGATAGTGGGCAGCCTATGCTCCTCGACGAGGGGTTAACAGGAGTAAGTACGTAAAACAAAGTTTCTCTAGAGAATGTTATTACTTTGAATACAATATATATCATGATCTACATCCCTAATTAGTGTCATTTTCTTTACTAATAGCACTGATTGACAGATTTCCGTGAAGTTAAAAGTGTGTATAAAATATTTCAACAAAACAAATTTCAAACTGTAGTTAAAAATTATCCATAAAATCTAGTTCATTCACCAAGTTGAAATAAGCCACTATAACCAAGGTATATAGCGATATAATTAGTTATATTTGTAGAGGAATTTTTACACAGTGATTTAATTGATTAGTTGTCCTCGACAAAATGTTCATATCGAATTGATCAAAGCTTCAATTATACCATAAGAAAAGCATCAGATTACTGTCACTGTCATGTTTTCAACATCTGACTTCATAGTTCTGAATTAGGTCAATAGTATGATTGTAAGTGTACACTGCTAATAATAAAACAACTGTCTAATCTTCTCTTGTTTTCATCATTACCTCAAATAAGATCAATCTATGAAGAATGTAAAAGCATACTTACTTACTTAATTACGCCTGTTACTCCTCGTAGAGCAGCATAGGTCGCAAACCAGCATTCTCAATCCAACTCTGTCCTAGGCAATCCTTTCCAGTTCTTTCCAGTTGTTATTCATCCTTTTCATATCTGCTTCTATGTCTCGGCTCAATGTATTCTTTAGCCTTCCTCTTTTCCGGTTCTCTTGTTTCATATATACTACTTTAATTGTATTACAACAGTACACTTTAATATTTTGTTTCATTTGATCAGGCTAATGTATAAAACGAAAATTGAGTTCACTCAACTACATAATTATGACACTGTTTTATTTCTTATGTTTGTTTGTGTTATACCCCGTGGAGATTTATGAATGGTAAATTTTGAGAACTATATATGGACTAATATGATATGTATATTTCCTATTGTATAATTGTTAAGTAACTAAACTATTCATATTCGTGTCCCTCTTATTATAAGCTTGATTTTGACCTATAGACTATTATTATACGATTAACCATTCCTGAGTTATGCCCAGTCTATTAATTACTGTTACCCTTATTCAAAGCCACATTTGGCTAAATCTTCTAGAAATGTCATTTTCTATTTTATGATACGATGTGGTCAGTTTGTTTAATAATATAAACCCAGTATTATAATCAAAGATGGATAGTGACTAGCAGTGGAATCCAGGACACGTGTTTCACGATATTTCGCATGCTTTCGCGTTATCCATCCAGCTACTGAGTCCTGATAACCACTTCAAACATATAATACCAAGTGAATTTAAACTTCAACCCATCGCACAAGCAATCGGATAGCCACTATCCATCTTTGCTTAGAATGCTTATGAATCAAAGCTATACCGAGGCAATACGCACAGTATGCACATATGCCAATAAGAGACTTACCAGTTGCAGTCCCAAGCATCAATAAGAAGATTGAACAAACAATACTAAGTGAATATAAATCCAGTATGCTTGAAATATAATGATTCATATTGTAGAGGCTGTTATTGATGTTCTGTACTTAAATGATTGAGCTAGGCAGATAGCAGGACTGACAAGTACTCAACACTGTTCGTACGGTTTTTCGTGTATCATTGCTCTGATCAATAATTCAATCCTCTCTCATTGGCGGGAATCATCGCGTCATATAATAAACAGGGCACGCATGTACACGATATAAGTTTTTTTTTAAAAAAAAAGGTTTAACCAGGTTAAATTGATTTCTCTTGTCTCCATTTATCAGTTATTATTAGTTCAAATGATTATCATTTAGACAAGTTCAAAAGTCCACTAGATCATTATATCATTGTAACTTATGCAATCATTATACTGGTTAAATGAATCATAATATTAGTAATAATAATAATAGTAATGATAATAATAGTAATAATAGTAGTAATAATAATAGTAATGATAATAATCGTAATGATGACAACGAACATAGTATTAATAATAGTAGTAGTAATGGTAATAATAGTAGTAATAATAATAGTAATAATAGTAATAGTAATAATAATAGTAACCATATTATTAATAATAATAGTAATAATAATAATGGTAATAACAGTAATAGTAATAATAGTAATAGTAATAATAATGATAATAATAAAGGTAACCATTCAATTATGATTAATTAAAATGAGAGGAAAAAGAACTTTTGTTTTAAAATGTCAAAAAATTTAAACAACCTTTATAAACAAATGGTGTTTCAATTTATAATCAAATGAGTTCAGTTGTCAAACAAACAAAAAAGAAAAAAAAAGAGGAAAAAAAAGAGAAAAAAAAACGAAATAATTTTACACACATATCAACTGATTTACTTATATGTAATTCAGTTTTGTTTTTTAAAAAAAAACACCAGAAAAATAGGTCATACTACTTAAATAAATAGATTTCGTTTCATTTTGACCGGGGTTTTTTTTGTTTTTAATTAAATATTATGTCAAAATTATAATTTGGAAATAAGAATCAGTTCAGTTTAACAAAGTAAAGAAAACTACATTAGTATATATACAAAAGTGAACTTTATAAGCAAATATGAATAGTGACTAGTAGTGGAATATAGGATATGTGTTTCGTTCTATTAGGGACTCTTCAGCTGCATCTTAGAGATGATGTTCACCCTGAGATTTGAACCCAGTACCGTTCACTTCAAACATCATCGCGTTTTCCATTTAGCATGAAACTTCAGTTAATATCGAGGCGGTCTACACAGGATGGAGATATGTCAACAAGTGACTGATCAATTGCAGTTCTAAATAACAATGAAAAGATACAAGTAAGCAACACCAAGTGAATATAAAAATGAAGTAGTTATAGTGTTTTATAAATTTGAAAGTCGTCAATGAAAAGTATATTCATGAAAAGTGTTCAATCTTGATAGGTTAACTGGGTTGATGAATTGGACTATTGTAAAAGGGCAATGTACTTAATTTTGATAGAAGATAAGATTTATTCTGGATGAACCATATTTAATTAATCAATATTTTTAATTCATTCTTTATTCTCTAGGATCAAGCGAATCTGTTCCAATGACACAATAGATGTAGAACTATTTCATCTTCAACAGACGCTCATCAAAAATGGTTATCCACTTAGGTTCATCGATAGCAACTTAACACTTAGACTTTATCAGGAAGAAGCTTTGACAGTGCAGTTGAAAACTTTATTTATAAAAATGGAAGTTAAAGAAGACATGGCTGCTGAAATCCTGAATAGACGAATTTCAAAGTCGTTGAATAAAACATTCTACGCAGCTAAGCTTCGAATTGTTTTCTCTAGCTGGCCTATAATTCTGTGGTATGTTAAGGATAAACTTTCGCTTTAGGCCACATCAATGTGTATCTATAAATTTACTTGCTAATGGAGGAACGTTTCATAAGCCGCACAAAGCGATCTCGGAAGACTATCCGACTTGGCTCTTAAAAGAAAAATGTAAAAAGATAACTAGTTCGATACAAGAGCATGCAGCTAGCTGTGAACACCACTCTAAATGACTCTTTTTTTAAAGTAATCTATAGAGTCAAAGAAACCGTATCGAAAGGGGGTCGAATTAATATTTTATGCACTGCTGAAACATTGGCAATCCGTGAACTCAAGCCTGAACTTTGCGTGCAGAAACGATTTGTCCAACTTCTCACTCTTCCTTATCCCTAATTCCCTTAATAGGTATGTTTGTGGTTGCCATTTTTTTTCTTTTCTGCACTTTTATTTGATTATTATTGGGTTTTTTTGTTTTTTAACTTACTGCTTTACATTTTAAACTCTAATCAATATTTATAATCTTCACTATCGAGACTATTATTTTCAATTAGTTGTCTTGAATTTTAATTATCCATACGAATAGTACATTTTGTACGTTGTCATGCTTCAGATATAAAGCTTAAAGAACAACCACAATCATCATCAAAAAAGGTATAAGTATCTACAAACACTTGTCTATTCAAGATACTGAATCTTCGTTGACCAGATACCATCAGTAAGAACCTACTGTGGAAGATAACAAATCAGCTTGCAGGTGAAGAAGAAATTAAGAAAAGACAGTAGAAATGGATAAGACATACATTACAGAAATCATCAAACTGTATCGTGAGAAAAATCGTAACTTGGAATCTTGAAAGGAAGAGGAAATACTAGAAAGTCTAAATAACACATTGCATCATCAATTGGATGTAGACATCAATAGGCTAAATAGCAACTGGAAACAACTGTAAAGCATCGTTGAGGACAGAATTGGTTGAAGAATTCTGGTGGGTGACCTTTGATCCTGCATGTGGAATAATAGGCGAAAGTAAGTATATAAGTTATGATTATTTAGACAAAAATTAGTTCATGACAGAATTTCAATTTGTAGTTTTCAGTTAATCATCAGATTCAAAGTCAATATTCAACATAATTCAATCTTCCTTCTCTTTATTGTATAATACTTTTCCTTCATTTTAACGATAAAGATATTCTTTTTAAAATGTATTTGCAATTCAAGTTAGTTTTAAAAAAAGTTGACATCTGATATTATTGTAAAATGTTTTTAGAGACCGAAAAAACAATCTCTTTTAAATAGTTTAGATCATGAGTTGATCGAAGCTAGACCACCATGGAAAACCTCGAAGCACTGGACGGTCGTTTCGTCCCATTGTGGAACTCCACAGTAGTGCGCATGCACGATCCCGCCTCTCAAGACTCGAACTCAGGACCTACCAGTCCCGCGCTAGAGCACTTAACCGATAGACCACTGTTTTGTTCTTTGGTATTCCTCTTCTCCTTTGACCTTCAGGATTCCATGTGAGGGCTTGTCTTGTGACGCAATTGAGTGATTTCCACAAAGTGTGCCCGATCTACTTCCAGCGCTTCTTCCTGATTTCTTCATCTACTAGAATCTGGTTTGTTTTCTCTCTAAGTAACTTATTGCTGTTAGTATCTGGCCAACGGATCCGAACTATCTTGTGCAGACAACTGTTAATAAACACTTGTATCTTCTGGATGATGGATTTCGTAGTTCTCCACATTTCCGCTCCATACAGTAGAACTGTCTTGACATTTGTATTGAAAATTCTGATCTTGGTATTAGTTGACAATTGTTTTGAGTTCCAGATGTTCTTCAATTGTAGATATGCTGCTCCTGCTTCGCCGATCCTCGCCCTTACGATCACAAAAGTACGATTGCTATTATGTTATAACATTTCAGTATTTTTTAGAGGTCAGGTGTCGAAAACTACAAGTGTCTAGAAATAGCCAGAGAAAGTACTATTTCAATTGTTTAGTTTAAAGAATTTGACAGTTTACAGGTTCTATTCATCAAGGTCTTATCATAATGGCAGAATCATTTACAAATAGTTTAGACTGGTTTCATAATTCATAAGTAAATGTGACCATAAACATAAAGCTTGCAATCTTAACGTATTCTAACTGAAACGACATTATTACCTAAAGTTTAAGGTTCTTTGAAATCCGTTGAATAATATCAAGGAAATAATCGTGTTCGCTCTTACACATATAATAGTTGAATGACCAGCAGTCACTATTCTGTTCCTCTCGTCATTGAACGAATACATTTAGTCACATAGTGAACGACGAGGACATACACATTTCCCTGTTTCTGAAAATAATGAATGGACACCGTAAAGATGGCAAAGTTTACAGTAAAGCCAAGACAAGTTCAAAACACAACTCAAGATGAATGAATAAATTAGTCTGTCCAAAATCTAAAATAAACTATGTAGGCTTGACATAGTAATCGACACTACATGTCATTCAAAACAAACAATCTATTTGTATTCTTTAGAGTATAAATTAAAATTTAAAAAACAATATCACATATCCCTTTAAGGTAATATAAGAAGCGTAAGTGTTCAATCATGCATTGATGACAATCAATTGAGTGAATAATAAAAAAAATCACCCAAAAACACTATAGAAGAAATGAAAACTTCATTTTTATAATGCGTAATTAAAGTGAACAAGAAAATAAAAAAGAAATGATGACGATGACGACGACGACGACGACGACGCGACAGTATAGATGAATGAACTTACAAGATAACCGAAATCTTATCATCTACAAAGAAACTTACTGATGCATAATAAAACTTTGTATAGATACATACATACACACCCACACACGTTAGCACTCTGATCAGTTTCTTATCCTCAAGAGATTTACTATTATTTCTTCTTTTGAAACCTATATAGTGCATTGGTGTGTGTGTGTTTATGTTACATAAAGAGACTATTAGGATATTCAGTTAATAAAACAATCGGTAATCAAAAGAAAAAAAGTTCTTTTCAATTCGGTTATTCATTATTCATTAGTGTAGAGTGGTTATAGGATACATTGGAAGATATATATATGGGTTTGAATAGTAAAATGTTTTTGTAGTGTATACTGTTAGCAACAATGTTTGTGTATATTGTAACCTGGTTTCAAAGTTACAACAATATTCGAATAGAGTGAAGCATTTTAAGAGCATTTAGTAAAGTATGTCATTGGCAGAACATTTGAATGCTAGTTGAGAAGGTAGACTTTAAAGAGGGGAGATGTGAAGACGGTCCACCGGTACACTTGAGGAAGCTCTAAGAAGCTCATAAAAAGATGAATGTATTCCATACAATCATGTTTCGGAAAATTTGTTCTAGAATCTCTACGAGTAACTTCTCTATTGGACAAATGCTCATAACCCAATGCATGCACATTCAGTGACTATTATGATGGTTTCATTTTTACTGAAATACTATAAATACCTGACAGTTTTGTACCATATTAAACACTGTTTCGAATAGCATTCCTTTCAATTGTTTTCTATCTTCTTATTTGTGACATAGAGGTTTCTAGCGTTTGAGTACTCAAGTTATACACGGTATAATAAGAATCTAAGCTCTAGATTTAAGTAATGATTAGTGAACAATGTGAATAATCTCCATCGATTCAGTCTACTTTTTTTCTTACTTCTCTCATTTTTGTCTAAATATCTTTTATTTTAACTTAACTATTCAATGGTATAATTAGATAACTTCACCAATATGACCTTATTTATTAAAGAAGAAACAAAAGACAAAAAAAAAGAAGAAACATCGTTCATCTCCCCCAAAAGATCAACTAATTCCGTTATCTTAGAAAAGAAAATAATAAACCGGAATTACT